TGCAATGGTTGTTTTTGTATGCTTCTGTTTGCATTTGCGGACACAAAGCAATGGCAAATTGTTTTATTTTTTGTCTTGAAGGACGTGCACAAGAAAGAGCTGAATGTGTTGCAATTTTGTTGGTATTAGCGCATGGCTTGATGAGAAGAAAGCGACCACTTGCTATACTGTCTGTACTGTGCAAAACAATGTGCATGGCCAAAAATGAGATTGTGCGTCTAAAGATACCAAGGGTGTGGTGGGAGTCAGGAAGATTGTGTTGCAAGGAAAGCGCAGTTTGCAGCAGCGTGGCGAGTCGTTTGCGTAGCATTTGCGTCGGCGCAAAAAAGGAAAGCCAATGAGAAGCACAAAAGAATTAGCAGTTAATTAGTAGTTATAGTTGCATGAAACACAGGCAGTTGCTAGCAAAGTGCTTTTTCATTATGTCGTCTACTAGGCACATGTCTCCTGTCTGAGCACAAACTAGCCCACATCTAGCGCAAACCACTTTTCTTGCAACGCAACCTGGCTGGCCTCTACCACACCCTTGGTATCTAGACACGCAATCTCGTTTTTGGGTATGCGCATTTGGGATTGCAAAACACAGTAACAGTATATGTGGAATCACGTGCTGTAATCGACTATCATCAACATTACTTGTTTTAGCGCTGCGCTGTTGCGTATGTTTAGCCAACGGCAGCAGCAGCAGAAATAGCAGTGCAATGTCAGTATTCTATTTTTTACATTGCGCATATGCTGTTGTGCAGCATGTCCAAGAAGCCGCGTCACTGGCGCGTGTGTTGCGTCATTTATTTTAACAGAAAAATCTGCGAAAAATGCATTTACCCTCTGGATTAAGCGTGTCGTAGGTTAACTGGGATAGCGACGGCTGATGTATGCGCCTGTCAATTCTGCAAATGAAAGAGATGACGGTGGTGGTGGTCGAAGCAAGCAACCACAGAATGGATAATCTGGATATAAGGCAAGCTCAACACGCAGGGCGTGCAGAGCGAACGAGGCAAGCTGCTGCTGCTCAGGATATGAGCAGGTGACTACCGTGTCAGCACAGCCTTGCTAATCAAACAAGCACTGCTCATGACCGATACCCCCACTCACTGGGATAAGAAAGAGTGGTTAGCAGTTGCCACCTGCTTTCATTTAAGCCAATGTCATCTGTCATCAGTGAATGGTATTATTTCAGCTCTGGCTGAAAGCACCAACTCGCCGTCCTCCGTTCTATACTTTTGCTCTTGCAGCGGAACAAGCGAAATAGAGGACGGAGGCAAAAAAGGAGAACAGAATTGGAGAAGCCAAATCCGCCGCCGATGCCGTGCGTCCCTATCCCTGCTATTTTTGCTCTCACCATGTCCTTTTTGCTTATGAAATATGCTGTGACGCCGCCTGCATCTTGCCTGTTTTGCTTTTGTCCACAAAGACACCATGTTTACCGAAAAGAGCTAACTCTAGCAGACCTCTTCCCCTCTCTCTTTATGCCTGTGCATCTTTATAAAGCAGCACAACATTGACAGCTGGGAACAGAGCGAAAAGAAGAGGGGCCAAGACAATCTTCCACGCATCAGCAGCTTTCTATTTTTTATTTTATTTTTGGCTTTCTTTGCTGCTGCTATCGAGGTGTTGTTCGAACAATGCTTCTGTGCCAAAACAAAGTGCTTTTTTGGTCGCAGCAGTTTTGAAAGAGCGATGGCTGTTTTAAATTGCAGTCGCCCATCATCTATCTTCACTCCACCTTATTTTGCTCTATTTCTCTCATCTGTGTTTTTGTTGACAAACAGCAACTCCACCCGCCTGTCATGTCAGCTTTTTTATTTTATTCTTGCCACTTTAACGAACGGACGCCGCCTTACTTTCTTCCGTCTTTTAACAACCCAATAAAATAGACCTATACCTCTCTGCCTTCTGTCTTTCTTTTTCTCTTTCCGTCTTGTTCTTTTTTGACATACTCTCCACACATATCTAATATAGTCCAGCATATACAGCAGTAGTATGGCTAGAGGCATACTCGCAGACACAATCGACACAACAGTCATGGCTACTACTGCTCGCAACCTTGGTCACAATGGCCCGAACGAAGACGCCGCTGCGCATGCATCGAAGCCCGACTCGGTGGACTCTTATCCAAGCAGATGCGAGTCGCCATTGCTGCCAATGGGCCAGGGCCCCTCGTATCAGATAGACCCAGATCGGCTGTCGCAGCATCTGGGCCAGGCTGGCAGCAGATACAGCCAGCAGTCGATCGTGCGCAAAGACTACGCAATCCCCTACGATGCGGGCGGGGATGAGCGGCTAGGATTGGGCCCCAGCAGCTGGCACAAGGGCTCGCCGGCAAACTCGAACGGCAGCCGAACACGTCCACACATGGGTCATCCGCGAATGACTACGACGCGTGCAAAGTCGTACCGCATCCACGTCCCCAGCTCCCAGATGCTTCCTGTGCGTGACCTGTCCTCAAAGCTCAAGTCTGCATGCCGGAAGCTCAACCCAAAGCGACTGGCCAAGGCTGCTCATTCCAGCCACAGCCGTGGTGGCCACATGCACGGAATTTCCAATGGCAGCAGCAACAGCAGCAACAGCGGCACCGACGACGAGGAGGCAGTAACGGCAGTATCGACGCATCGCGCACGAGCCGCCAACCCAAGAAGCTCCACACCAACAAAGCTATTATAGTCTGTTACCATATGGGCAGAGGATGCCTTTGTTTTGGTATCTTGGATCTTTTTTATCTGCCTGTTTGTATTGAGGCGACTTTTGGTGGCTTGTTAGCACTTTTTTTAGCTTCTTCTGCTGCTTACTCTTTTGCTTTTTAACCCGGATTTTTTTCCTGGATTACACGTTGTTTGTTTTTGGATGTAAGGTGGCACTGTGGTTTCTACTGCATCAGACACGCAAGGGCGCACAAACAAAGCCAAAGGAGCAAAACTCGTTTATGCTCCATCATCATCCTCCACAGGCAAAATCAAAATACAAAAACTCTAAATCTTGGGCCACGCCATCCTTCTTCCCTTGTCTCCTCTGGATAGAAAAAAGCAGTAGTAGTGTTGGCCCAGGTATTTCCCATCTCATTTTTACATTTGGGATTCTCTTCGTTTACTTGCTTAAGCTGAGTGGTTGTTCTGCTACAAACTTGTCATATCCAGAGAAAAAGATTAAGATACTGCTGCATGTGCGCACGCTAAGGCATTAGGTAGTTTTTCTATTCCTAGGCTCAGGCGTCCTGTTGCAGCAGCTCATGTGCACGGGGCACAGTCAGTGATAAAAACATGTATGCACGGCGTCCGTTTGTAGCCGCTTGGTTGTCTGGGCCACAAAATAACAGCGTTCACATGACACCACCGCTTGTCACTTTCTTCCAAAGAGAAAGATCGAGTAGAAAAAAGGGTCTCGCCACTGCATCACCACCATCCATCCAATCTCTCGCTTTTTATGCTACATTTTTATGTTCCACCACCACCGCCAGCAAACAAAACATTATCTTCTGTTATTTTCTACTCTCTTATCTCGTTCATTTGTAGATTTATAATAATAACAGCATATTCTTTGTATTTATATTTAATAATATTAGCGCTTTTTCTTTAAAATGGGCAGAAGTGTGAGAAACCGTCTGCAGTCGCTCTTTGGGAGAGGCGACGGTGCTGTTGAAACCTACTCAACCAACTCGTACGTTTCGCCCAGCAAATCGACCAACAACAGCAGCAGATCATTTGCATCCTCCTTGGTTGGCCATTTCCGTAGCCACCACCAGCCCATACAGAAACCACCCATCACTAGCGCTGCCCCTGGCTACTTTAAATCTTTATTCCGCGATCATCCTGTGTCGTTCAGCAGTGCTGGCACAGCCGCTCATTGCGCCCCTGCTTTTGACCAGGAGCCGCCGTATGGCTCATACGACTCTTACAATAGCGAGACACGTCTGCTCCTTGACACCGGCTCAGCACACATACTCAAAACGTTTTTCTCTGACTCTGTTGTGCCACTTGAGGACGAAGGCGTCGGCAGACTCAAGGCAGTATATGAGGTATGGATGCCAAAAAACGGTTTGGTATCAAAAGACAAAATCAGTGGCATCTATACCCTGAGCCTGGTGTGCGCAAACCGCATTGAAGGAACCTTATACTGCGACGGCGAAACCAAAGAACGCTCGCTTCAAAAGCACCACGTACAATGCATATACGCAGGCACTGGCGTTCGACGCGGCTGCTGCAACGCAGAAAGCACAAACACTGCTACGACTGGCATCGAGGTGTGGATCAAGGGCAGCCTCCCTGTTAGCGGCCCCTGGGTCCAGTCAATGAACATCCCACCAGAACACCGCCTCAACAAGCTCTGTCCAATAGCTGCTCCAAAGCACGACTTTAGCACTTTTGTTAATGCAGGATGCAATCTTGTGGAGCTGCCTACTCTCACTGCCGGCTCAGACAGCTCTGTTTTTGAGCTTGACAGCGACGTCTACATCTATTATTGTCGCCTAACTCCATGCGCAAGTATCTGCTACACGGCTAAACCTGCTGCAAGGAGAGCCAGAGAGCCACCTATCTTTGAGATTACAAGGCTGCGTCGGGCTACAACCATATCCATGGTCAGCCCAAACCACACACTATCATCCTCCTCCCCTGCGCCGCCAGGCAGTAGAGGCGAATCGCACTCGCTCAAACTCTGCAAAACACGCAGTTTGTATATTCATCTGTGTACCACATACGACAAACACGGCATTGTTTCGCGCGGTGGTGGCTGTCTGATGCTCCCGGGATCCATCCAGCTAAACGATGGTGACGGTATCCACCTGAAAGAGGTGGCTCCTGGTGCTGACATACCAATAAAAAATATTGGCTTTGACCGCGCACAGTTCCTGCTTATTGACATGCCTGGATACAAAGATAATAGCGACGCAAAGAGCATCTAGCATTGAGGTGTTTTGTTTTAAATGATCTAAACGAAAATTAGAGTTAATAAAGAAGCATGTCCGCCAAAAAAAAAGAATAAAAAAGTACAAACAAAAAATGATATGCCCACTGCCGGGATCGAACCAGCGCTCTTCAGTTTACAAGACTGACGCCTTACCACTTGGCCAAGCGGGCAGCTAGCCAAAAGCCATTTATTCCAAGCTAAACAGCCAATCTCGGCGGATTTCAAATTAAAATATACAGGTAAATAATGCTACTGTTTTGAGCAATGAATAGCGCCTGTTTTTTTGAGTACCGTTCACGGTTTTAGCTGCTCCTTTGCAATCAAAAATATGCTCCATATCTTCAAAAAATATAAGCTGCAAGTATCTAACCAGTGGTTCTAATTCGATCTGGGAGGCGAAGAGTTGAGTGAAAAACTACTCCTCTCCGCTCCCTACGAAACTGGCCGCTTCTATATCGCCTCCAATTCAACTATCAGCCAGATGCTAATACCATTAACATCGGGCTTTCATCTGCAACCGCAGCATTGACCGCCCAACGCTGAGCATCTCCCACGCCTTTTCTCTTTAATTCCTTAACTTTGCTTATTCGATTTTTGTTACATTCGTGTACGGTATACTTCGCCTCTTTGAGCGTAAAAACGCCCGTCTTTTTTATTTCCCTTGTCTTCCTCCGCATTTTTATTTATAATGTTAATAATAGCTATTCTCTACTGCTATATCTGGTGAACAAACAATTGGGTTTTTCATTAAATGGCAAATCAAATAAAACAAAAAACAAACTTAAAAAAGAACGCCTGTAACAGCAACAATAGCAAACGCTGACAGAGACAGGCTGGATGCAAACACACTAGAGCCGCTGCTTGTCTGTGAATTCTTCGATTTGGTTTCCGACTCCCTATCAGAAGTGCTATCACCGTCATCCAAGGAACCACTAGACACACTGTCAATGTCGCTGTCATTCTCACCTTCAAGTTCGCTTTCTTCTGTTGAGTCCGAAACCTCAGCAACAGAAACATTCACACCTAGAGCACTATCAGCAGTGGTGGCATCGTTGTCGGATCCACTGGAGGTAGCAGAGGTGCCGCTGCTAGCCTGGTTTTGGACAGGAGAGCTTTCGCCTTGGTTAGGGCTGTTGGATCCGTTGGATCCGTTGGAGCCATTGGCGCCATTGGAGCCATTGGAGCCGCTAGAGCTTGAAGAAATGCTGCTGGAGCTTTCATTTGCAGGAGAATTAGCATTGGCGTTAGCATTGGCATTGGCGTTAGCATTGGCATTGGCGTTAGCATTGGCATTGGCGTTGGTGTTGCCTGAGCTATTGCCATTCGAGGTGCTAGATCCAGACGTGGTGCTAGTAGGGGAAATGCTGGTGGATTCGTTAGCTACTTCCTTCTGGTTATTTGCTGCATTTTGCACATTGTTATTGTTACTGGCATTGTTGGCAGGGGTTTCAGCAGGAGCCAAAGAGTTACTGGTTGCTGCAGCTGCAACAGGAGCAACCGTGTTGGAAATAACAAGCGCAGCACCAATGCCACCTTCATTATCAAGATGGCCACCAGTAGCAGCGCCGGTAGAATCTTCGCCATCAAGTTTCTGTGCATGCACAGTAGAGGCTGCAAGCATGGTGCAAAGGGTAAGTGTCGAGATGTAGAACTTCATGATTATTTCAAAGATAATGAAAGCGGGAAAAAAGGTGGGAAAAGGTTAATTTTCTGAAAGAAAAAGGTAGACTATAACGATGGAAAAGTGTAGTAAAAGCGTAAGGAAAAAAAGGGAATAAAGGATAAGAAGGATAGCAAAAATCCCAGACTCATCACTTTGCAGCTTTTATTACATTTTAGAAAAAAGCAGACCATGGGCTGGATCCAGATGGTCCAACAACAAAGGAAAACAATGCAGCTCCAATGATCGGCATATGCTTGTTTTCACACTAAAGCAAAAAGGCCTGGATACCTATTTCACACTCGATCCACACAAACGGTGCTTGAAAGGAAAGTATATGTTTGCATATCAGCTGCATAGTTTGCGTTTTTGCAATTGCTTTGCACGTTTCTATTATGTGAAAGTACAAAATTGTTAGAAGAAAATCTTTTTCTATTTTTTGTATGCAAAAACAATCCCTACTTTGTCCACCACATGGCGAAAAAAGCCAACTCATGGGAAGTTTGGTTTCCATTATGTTTTCAGGTAAACAACTCTAAAAATAGAGCAACTTATGCTATTTTTGAAGCCAGAAGTGCAAGGTTCTCAGGCGATGTTGAGCGCAAGGTGTAGTAAACAAGCTCAGCGTCATCCATCTGCAACTGGCGACGCACATAGTCCAATCGGCCCATGTCCAAGAAGCGCTTAACTGCATGCCCTGCACGCACACGCTGGCTGTATGAAAGCCCTGAGTAATGTATATCTGCCCTCATTGAATCACCGCGCTGCCTTGGCTGCCTGTCTACGTTATTATTATTCGTTAGTTTTGCCTGAGGTGGCGGGCCGTTTATTGCCCAGGTGGAGATAGCTGCAATTTGTCGGAACATCTCCCGTTGATGCATGTTCCATTTCGTGCTGCCAGCGTCGATGGTGTCGTTGTTTGTTGAACATGCTGGTGCCATTGGCAGATAAACGGGGTCAATAAACATCGAGTATTTACATATATGGTGGCAGCACAGAGCGATGGCAATGCCGGCTACAACTCCTCCTGCTTCTTGATACCGCTCCAAACATCTGATAGTCAGATCTGTAGCTGCGCCGCATAAATGTTTTGAATATGCAACTACAGGGCGCAGGATTGTTTTGCCGGTTGCTGGCTCTATTACCTGCAGTTCCACTACTTTTGTAAGGTCTAGGTCGCGAATATCGAGATAAATTCTTTCAAACTGGCGGTGTGGTGCAGTGCTGCGCTGCTGGTCCAAAGTATCCCTTTCCCTTTTGATCTTGAACTTTTGACGAAAGTTCTTGCGGTCAACAAGAAATATGCTTGGGTCCCTATTGTTGCTACTTGGTTTGGCTTGTACAGCCCTGTGCACATACACAGATAGCTCGCCCTTGCCTGCGCCAAATTCAACAAAAGCATACTGTGGATCCAGTAACCCACGGCTATCCAAATGACCGATAAGTGAGCTTTGTTGTATTATATGTTTGGAATGCTTTGTTAGCTGCTGTTGGTCTAAAAGTGCCTGGTGTGTGCGACAGTCCAGTCGAAAGTCTTCTAATGGCTTAACCAGATCCAACAGGCCTTCTAATGTCTGGGAGTTGTAGTCAACCCCAATCCGAGAAACTCTTCTTAAGTAGGATGTTATTATAGGCTTTAGAATTTCCGAAATCATCTCTTTGCTACTAGTATCGCTATTTTGCAGCACAGATCTGTCTTTTGTCTTAAGCCCCGAACCCAGGTAAACAAGCTCTCCAGGTTTGACCATCAGTTGCGCATCTGATTTGGCAAGGCCTTCTTCACTCCAAAGCTGCCCAGAGTCGGCAAACGTTTCGCTAAAATAGTTGGGAGGCAAACTGACAACATTGCAGTCTGGTAATGTGTAGTTTGGGCGAGTATCTGGTGGCCGCGCGTTGCAAAGAGAACCCATGTGCTTCTTGAGCTTGTCAAGTTCAACGGAATGCGACATGTCGTACGGGCAAAGCACACGAGATGATGGCACAGCCAAAGGGCCACCGCTATCTGTTGATGAGCTGTTTCGAGCAGCACGATCACAAGCGCCACTACTGCTGTTGCACATGGCTTTATGTTCATTGCAGTATTTGGCGCCGTTCTTTGTCTGGAACGGACAAAATCGACGTTTCCTGGTTACATAAAACTGGCAACGGCTATTGTATTCAGTCAATGCATGTCCCTCATCCATTTTGTTCTGCTCTATAGATAAACAATAACTATAAAACAAGTGTAAAATAAAATAAAATGGAAAATATATGGATTGCAGTTTCAGCCTGCAGTTTTCTTATTTGGACGATCTATAGCATGAGCCCTATCATGTGTATTTTGGGTATGTTTTAGCCACCCTATCTGAGCCCGTAGATAAAACACGCTACAAAAATAAAAAGGTGCTAGATAAAACAGAAAACAACACCTTTTTCTAATCGAGAAGTTCATCAAAGTCGCTGGTACGCTTGCGCGATTGTTGCTTGCGTCTGTTTGAGTCAAGGGTTTGCTTGCGCAGACGAACTTGTGTAGGTGTGACTTCAATCGCCTCGTCAGGATTGATGTATGCAATGGCTTCCTCTAAAGACCAGGGCTTCACAGGCGTAAGGCGAATCGCTTCATCTTTGCCGGCTGCCCGGATGTTTGTCAGCTGCTTTGCCTTTGTCGGATTCACTTCAAGATCACTACCATCCTTGGTGAGCTCGCCTACAACCATACCAGGATACACATCCTCACCATTGCGGACAAATAGCCGTCCTCGAGGCTCCATCATATTCAGTGCATACGCTGTTGCTGTTCCAGACACTAAGCTAATCATGCTGGATTTGCGTGTCTTCTCAAGGGGGCCTGCATACACGTCGTACCTAAGAAAGGCATGATTCATCACACCAGTGCCGTGTGTGTCGTTCTTGAATTCAGAGGCATAGCCGAGCAGGCCGCGAGTTGGGATGTGAAAAACCAAGCGCGCCTTGTCGGCAACATCAGTAAATGATTTGAGTTCGCCTTTGCGTCTTGTCAGCTTCTCGATCACAGCTCCAGAACCCTCGTGGTCGACATCAATGGTAATCTCCTCAAAGGGCTCCAAAAATTTCTGCTTCTCGCTTGGATCACGCTTGAATAGCACGCGCGGCGGTGTAACCGATAGCTCAAAGCCCTCACGACGCATTGTCTCGATAAGAACAGACAACTGCAGTTCACCACGTCCACGAACCTCAAGCGACTCCGATTTGCCGTCATCGACGATTTGCAAGGCAACGTTTGTTTCTGCCTCGCGCCGAAGGCGCTCGCGAATCATGCTAGACGTGAGCTGCGTTCCTTCACGGCCGGCAAGTGGTGAGTCGTTGACAGCAAAGGTGACCGAAATTGTGGGTGGGTCAACAGGTATATACTCCAGAGGCTCTGTGATGCTTGGGTTGGCAATCGTTGAGTTGACGGTCACCGTGGGCACACCGCTAAGGGAAACCACATCGCCAGCGCCAGCCTGGGCCATCTCCACTTGCTGCACACCACTGCGGAGGAAGAGTTTTGTG